GGCTCTCCACCCCCCGGCGCGCCCACCCCCCGCCGCCCCGGGCACCCCGAGTGTGGGGCGGGAGCGCCCCGTCACACAGCCTATTCCAGAAGCTGGGGGCCAGCACTTTCTTCCCCAAGTGCACCATCAGGTTCGGGACATGGACATGCCATTGTACATTGTGGGGAACACGGCTTACCCTCTCTTGCCATGGCTTATGAAGCCTTACACTGGACATCTTGACCCCAGCAAGGACCATTTTAATGCCTGGCTGGGCTGGGCCCACATGAAGGCAGAGTGCACCTTCGTGCATCTCAAAGCACGGTTCAGATGCTTCCTGATCCACCTGGATGTAGGAGAGCAGAACATGCCGCAGGTGGTGTCCGGACGTTGTGTGCTCCACAACCTCTGTGAGAGGAAGGGGGAAGCGTTCCTCCCTGGGTGGGGGTCCAAGGCCAGCCAGGAAGGAAGGGCCTTTGATCAGCCGTGAACAGCTGCCAGCTGGTAGGCCCATCAGGTGGGGGTGAGCATCCAGGAGGTCCCTGAGGGAGAGTTTCTCACAAGGATCCCAGGGTATGTCTACACTACCCTCCTAGTTCGAACTAGGAGGGTAATGTAGGCATACCGCACTTGCAAATGAAGCCCTGGATTTGAATTTCCCGGGCTTCATTTGCATAAGCGGGGAGCCGCCATTTTTAAAACCCCGCTGGTTCGAACCCCGTGCAGCGCGGCTACACAGGGCATGAACTAGGTAGTTCGAACTAGGCTTCCTAGGTCGAACTACCGTTACTCCTCGTGCATTTGCAAGTGCGGTATGCCTACATTACCCTCCTAGTTCAAACTAGCGGGGTAGTGTAGATATACCCTCTGACTCTGACTTTTAAAGCCTGCTCTCTAGGGGTATGTCTACACTACAGCACTAATTCAAACTAACTTAATTCAAATTAATTAATTTGAAATAAGCTAATTCGAATTAGTTCATCTAGACCTAAAAACTAATTCGAATTAGAATCCCGTGCCGCGTGTAGCCGCGCGGCACGGGGTTCGAACAAGCCGGCATTTAAAAATGGCGCCGGCCGGCTTATGCAAATGAAGCCCGGGAAATTCAAATCCCAGGCTTCATTTGCAAGTGCGGTATGCCTACATTACCCCGCTAGTTCGAACTAGCGGGGTAGTGTAGACATACCCCCAGTGACACTCTCCCCTGACCCTCCCCACTAGAGGCCTGTGCCTTGCCCCTCTCTGCCCACCCTCCACCCCCACATCGAGACGATTTTAAAAAGCTGTTTGTTTGTTTTTTAAAAAAGAACTCTTTGGTTATTTATTTGCGGTAGAAGTAACTGGGGAGGGTCTGAGGAAAGAACCTGGAAGAGGTTAGAGGAGGGGAGAAGAGGAGGAGGGGGGATGAGAACCTTGGAGTGGGGAGGAGAGGCTCAGGGCTGGGGCTCAGAGTGGCACCTGGCTCTGGTGGTTCCTCCGCCTCGTGTGCTGGGACCTCGGTGACCATAGGAGGTGTGGGGCGGGGAGGCTAGGAAGAGAAGCAAGAGGCGGGACTAGAGTAGGGTCAGGCATGGGAGGAGGGGCAGAACCACGACCTGGGACGGGGACACGAGCAGCAGCAGGAACGGGAGCTCACTCGGGGTGGGCGAGAAGAGCCGGCATGGTCACACACAAGTTGCGTCCCTGCTGCAGCAACTCTGTCCAGGTCTCTCTGCGCCACTACGTGTTCTCCCAGACCTTCTGGATCGGTGTCTCATGCACGGCCCGGGGTATGGAGATGTGGTCTCACATCAGTTCCTCCTGCATTCTCTGGCGCCTGCGGCTCCCCCCGGCCCCGATGGGCATCTGCCTCGGGTGGTGTTGCCTGCCCCCCTCTCGCAGCTGGTCCAACTGAGGGGAATAAAAAGAGATGGTCAGCCATCCCTGGTGACACTGTCCCTGAAGCCTTGCCCTCATCTGTGAGCCGAGACCGACAGTTCTCAAGTCAGATGAAGGTGACAGGGGTTCCAAATAAGGCGTGTAGAGAGAGGTACAATCAGTAGCACGGGGCAGAGGCGTCAGTTCCTCTGGCTACATGGGTTGGAAAGGGACTATGTCAATGATCGGGAGAATCCACAACAAAAACCACCCATACACACAGGCACAAGGCTAATCATCCAGGCCCTTCTCTTTTTGGACTCCACTCCATAGCTTTAGGGCAGCCCTGTCCTCTAACTGCTCATCCATTGTACAGCCCCCAAAATATTGCCAGGCTTTGTGTGGGAAGCCTCAGTAGGGATTTATAGCACCCGAGCAAGCCAGGAGGTGTAGTGCTGCAGCAGCACCCACGGTGCGGTCGAGCCAGTTCACATGCGAGTCACGCCTGCTGCCAGGAGCCGGAGAACAGCGACACTGGGGCTTCACCAAGTGATGAGTACAGACGTCAAAGGGGCCTTATGAATATTGATGTGGAGGCTCAGGTTGCTTTCGTAAAGGAGCAGAAGGAAGCAAGATGGCTGCCCTTTAGGATTTGTTAGCAAGGGGAGCAGGCTGCATTTGCTGGATTGCTGCAAGGCTGAGGGACATAAAGAGGTCAGAGCGGTTATCTTAATGCCATGAAAACTCTCCCTTTCCTACAGTGGGGCTTTACTAGTGTGCTGCTGGGGGCTGGGGCGCCGGGATCCATAGCCTGATCTACAAGTAGAAAGAGGGGAATGAAATTTTTTCTGAAGCTTCTCCAACATGGCTGACAAATATAGTTTTTAAAAAATGTTTAAAAACTACAGGGCTGGTAGCTTTCCTCTGCTGAGTTACGCTGCTGTTCTGTTCCCAAACTTTGATTTTCGGCTCCTCTGAGAACCTCGGGCTGGCCGGGTTTTTTGTTTTAATGCAGGGAAGTGTTCATAATTTTAAAAAAGACTTCATGATTATCCTTATTATCAGTTGTTGCTGTTGGTGTTATTGTCCCACTTCTCTCCCCCCCCCCCTTTCAGTGGGTTTCCTTCTTTTCCTGCACCTTGTCTGTCACTGAATTTTATTGTGTTCTTTAAAGAGCCCCAGGAGGTGTTTCAAAGCTATAGTGGATTCCTGTTTTCTTTTTCCACTTCAGGAGGATTTTTCTGATTGAGTGTGAGAGTGGATGGGATTTTCTGCCTCTAACTTCCATTTATTGTTGTTTTATTTAATGTAAAAGGAGTGGCTGGTGTTATGCGGGAAAATGGGGGTGGGGGGGAGAGAAGAGAGAGGAATAGTTTCTTCGGACAAAAAGAAAACTCTTTCTGATAAAGACAGATCCAATGCCTTCAGTCTGGGCATTCTGGCTAGTTTTGGAGAATATCTGTAAGAGAATGTGTATGTGGAAAGTCTGTTTTCTGGCTTTGTGCTTCTCATGAATCAGCTTTCATTTGGTTTGAGGGTGAGTGACAGGCAGACACAAAGGCAGGCGCAGTCAAAGGGGGAGAAGGTGTGGGGGGAGAAGAGAATTGTGGAGTATGAGGACTACAAGGTCAGGGGCACTGAAAGAAATAAAACCCAATCCAAAGGGAAAAACAGAGAAATGGAGAAGAGATTTGTAGCAAGGCCTTTTTTCTTTGCCATCTGCAACATACTTTGTCAGCCTTGTTAAATCCCATGATCTGGGCCATTTACACAATGTGACTAAGAAAAATGCTTTATAATGCACATTAGTTAAAAAAATGCCTTTAAGCAAGGTACCTATGGTCTGATAGGGAAAAAAATCCAGAACATGATTTTTCAGACCTGACATCACTGTATCTTGATGTTGTGTTTTCATTAGCATCAAACCATTCCTCCAGCAACCAGCAGTCGTTTTCATACTCTTGGTGAAAAGGAGGCTTTTTGCTTGCTCTTTGATTCTTGGAAATTCAGCTAGCCCTTGTTCTGCTTAGCAGTTTTCCTTTTTTCAAAGGGTGAAGTGGGGGAGAAAAGTGATGAGTGTAATAGGCTTCCACTGACATGTTTCAGCCAAAGGTCTCATCATGAGATTTTTTTTTCCATGATGGAGAGTATGCAGATGAACACTGTGATAGCACTACATGATAAGCAACTGAGAAAAGGAACAGTGAATAGCAGTGTGGTTGTGTAATTTATTTTAAAACCAGAAATTTAGGAATTTCAGGGATGAAGAGTCATTTTCCTAAATAAAAGCAGGTGAGTGGGTGTTGTTTACTAGCTAATGAGGTCATTATATTTGCATTTTAATGGCAGGTTGACATACTGCAGTGGAAGGGAGAACATGTATATTCATTTGTGTATTTGCATGTATATTCTATGATGACACTTGCATTGGAGGCTGTGAATTGCAAAATAGGGCATGTTTGTAAAAGAAATTCAACAGCGGGGTGTTAATGGTCAAGAGTCATGAATACGTTTCAATTAGAAAGTGATGTGGATGATCAAAAGGTGAAGAAACCCACAGGACAAAGTATACATAGCCCCTTTAAATTACAGCCCCAAAACTGTTTGTTGAACATTTCACTTGTAAATCATTCTTCTGCTTATCTTTGAGGAGTTAGGCAAATTTGTTTTAAACAGTGAGTGTCCATCACGTGAGCTGCTTTTGCAGATTAAAAGGACACTATACTCTAGTCTCCAGAAGATAAGCACAGTCATTGACATAAAACAAGGAGGAGTCCTATGGCTCCTTAAAGACTAACAAACTAATTAGGGCACAAGTTTTCATGGGCACGAAAGTTTATCACCTAATACATGTGTTAGTCTTTAAGGTGCCACATGACTCCTCATTTCTGCCGAAACACACTAACACGGCTACTTCCTTGAAACTTGTCACAGTCATTGGCCAATCCTTATGGCTACTTGCAATTATAGTTTGATTTTTAAATGAGTATGGCCTCATCTTTCACAGCACTTAAACAACACATTCCGCCCAAGGAATGAACAAAAGAGACAATCCATTTGGTTGTGTGTACACTGCTATTTGTAAATCATGTTGCATGTACAAACATCAAATATCAAAAAGAAATACTTCCTTTCAGCTCTTCATTTCTCAGACCTGTTATATTTTAATGTGCTTGTTACTCTCTTTGAAAACTTTCTATCATTGTGGATTGTTTCTCTTCACTTCTATGTTACTAAAGTATCTAATTTTGAAAAGGATTACAAAAAGTAAACATTAATATCCATAGAGTCTTGATAAATCTGAATTGAGGCAGTTGGATTTATTCCTACTCCCTCAAGTGAATAAAGCTTTTTCCATTATATTATGTGGCCCATTATATTCTGATTACATGCGTACATTACCTATAGGTACTGTTTATGTATCTCATCATTTTTGCTACTGTTAGCTCTGTTATTTCCCTGTAGAAGAAGTAAAAGATAACAATTAGGAGCCAAATAGTTCTCCAATGGGTAATACATGGATTCTCTTCCTTCTGTGCATAGGAAATACTACGTAAAGCCAAAAAAAAAAGAAAAAAACCCTGTCAGAAAAGCCCACACAAATAAATTAAATCCAGCAACTAAGCCGGGGGAAATGTAGTGGTCCGTTTGTTGAATTAGTTCTCTATTTTTCATTCTTCATTGCATGTGAAAATCTTTCAGTGGAAAACAATTTTGTTTGGAGAAGAGTTCCTCATAATTATCTCAGTGATTCCAAGGACCTCGGATATTAGTTGTGTGTACTGCCCATATCAGAACCTTTCACACACTGAACTAATTATTAATAAATATAGGGGTGGGAGGGAAGGGAGGCATTTTAGTTACTTAGATTCATAAATCTACCACATTGTTGTTAATAGTAAGACTTTTGCACTAGGACTCTGGCAAGGTATTGGTTGCTGGCCAACAGCCAGCGGAGCTGGTATTGTTTTGATATAGTGCGCATGGTCCTAGACTTTGGCATGTCAACATAGTTTAAAGAACAAGGAACGTGAGTCTGACGAGGCATTGTTATGACGGACAGATTTCCAAGGTTTCTCGTTGTCATTGGTACTATGTTAGGCAACAGAAATCGGTGGCCATAAGTATCTGGTTTCACTGTGACAACTTAAGACACTTTCAGAATTATTCTCTTACCCCCAGAACAGGAATTTTCAGCTGCCACAATTAGAAGAGGCCATTTTCACTTAATCTGTGCAGTTGTCACATGGTGTTCTGCAGCTTCTTCTTGAACTTCTTGGACTTACTTCCCTTGATGATCATATATAAATATTACTAACATCTAAAGGGCCCTTTCTGGGAGCTATGGGGAATGTTTCAGGTTTGATTTATTCTAAATTACTTTTGTTTATTAGATGATCACTCTACAGCCATTTAGAGTACCTACGTAGTCACTTTAAATACATTGTTCAGCTAAATGTGAAGTGATTTTTTATTAAAGCATCTATTTTTCAAGCTGAAACTTTGAATGAGCTCAAATTCTGGCTTATCAAACTAACCCTCTTCCGCAATCATTTGACTGCCACACAGTAGCTCCAAGTGTGGTAGTAGCAGCAGCAAAGCCAGCAGCAGCGAAACTTCCTGCAAGCCAGCTTTACAATTGGAACCGTAAAGTGATTGATTAAAATTGCCAAGTTTACTTGCAAGTTGGTGGTTATCTTGGAAACTGTTTTGGAGAACACAACCACAAGTGATTTTTGCCAAATAATATATAGTATTTACATAGTCCAACTCTCCGATTTGTTGTTAAGGCGCTTTGCCAGCAGTGAGTGTTGTGACATCATTTAGAATGGCTATGTGCTTTATCCACCGATTCTGAAATGGAGTGAGATGTACTATGATTCAAAAGGGGTGGTGAAATAAAAGACTATGGTCTGAAAAAGAGATAAAGCATAAGACTGCATCATGGCAGGAAGCCAAATAGAAATGATGTGCACCAATCATTTTCAGCATTATTCTGATCCTGTATGGTATATTACAGCAAACACCACCTATCCATTTAACTTGCTCCTGGAAGAAATGTCTTTTTATATAGTGAATGAGTTTGGTGAGAACTAAACAAACTATCAGGACTTGATTTAGAATGTTTTTCAGATGAGTAAGTGCATATTTAATTTTCCTAGTATACTGCAGACACAAAGAAGCGGAACTAGAAAGTACAATAAATAAATGGGATGGGGGAAGAGTTTGGACATGAGAAAGATGACTGAGTTAAGTCAATTACCATAGTCTCAGGGAAATGCTCAATGCATATGGACATCTGAGGTCAGGTAACAGAGCTGTGGACTTGAAATATCAACTGGGCTAATCCCAAAGGTAATCAATGATCCACAGACTTGAAATAAAAGGTTGTTCAGTTTCAAAAGACTGGACATATGTTTTGTGGTGTGAGGGTAAGCAAATGAAGGAGAGAAGAGGAAATAAAAGTTTCTTACAGTTTTGATTTGTTTCAAGGCCTTCCAAATGAACTGAACTCAGTTTTTCAAGGTGGATGAGGTGCTTAATTTGGCCAACATTTTTTAAAAACTGCATTGACTTAGAAGAAGAAGAAGAAAGCTTAATCAATCACTTATAAATAAGACTTTTTGACTTTAAACCCTTAAAATATACTTACTTCTGGTGCTTTAAAGCAGGAGTGGTGAACCTCTTTTGGGTCGGGGGGCCACTTGACCGTC